GTGTTATATATATATATATATAATTGGTGTGCTAGGTAGCACAATAAACAGAATAAAAACAAATAGATAAATAATAATAAACAGTGCTCAAATTAGGAACAAGATTTTTTAATTATATTAAACATAGCCCTTTAACGAGAAGTTCCATTTAGTGAGTTATATAAAAAAAAGTGTATATGGCGGAATTTGAACCTTCAACCTCTCTCTATTAGGGCTAGTGTCATAGTTATGAGACCATGGAGACCTATAAGATATACGTGCAGATGTAACCCCAGGCAATTTCTCTCATACAAATGACGTGGCTGCAGCAGCCTATAGCTGTTGTAGCCTTTCTATAGCTGGTATTGTAAGTCGTATCAGTCATAGTTCATCAACACAAGTTTCTTATTAGTTGTATGATAAAAAAAAAATCTCTGCTGGGAATTGAATCGGCAAACTCTCGCTAATTTGGCGAGCATCATACCTTTAGACCAGAGGCCTGTATGATATTAATACGGATCTGAGACCACTAGTTTTCCCCTTTATTCAACATGAGGGCTCAATAATGGCGCTCACTTTACTTTAAATTAATTAATAGCACTGTTTATAGGTAGCAGTTTGTAAGCAATTGGAAATAAGTAAGTATTTTTTTAAGTTTACTTACCGCAACCTGCTTCACTTGTTTCATCATAACCATTACTACAATGCTTCTTTAGATCACACAAATATATAGATTTGATGCATTCCAAAGTACCAACACATAATTGCAAACCATCACTGCAACCTGTATAATTAAGTAATGTTATTAGGAAGATATTCTAGAAATTAACGATATCAATTTGTTATTATATTAGTTTTCATTACACTGCATGAAAATAAATAGCGGTAACTTACTTGTTACAATACCTCTTTCAAACACTATAATGTATGTATACCTACAAAGTAGTCCCATTTACTAGTATGGAACCACATCAACTGACGGACTCAAAGTTTATGTGTGATAATTTGAAATTATTTTAAAACATGTCTGTCCTTTCATGATGACGTATGAGGTCCGTGTGGATTGGAGTGTTGTTCTCGTCAAGGTCTCGGGATCTCGTTGTCTCTATGTCAAGCCTATCTTTGTTGTCGATAGTTTATATTTTCTGTTTATTAAATTTCTGTTTATTTATTTACTTTGTATTCATAAGATTCGCATAAGATCGCACTTAAGCTCCATGCAATGATAATGCTAAACAAACATATAGAAAAGTATAATAATATTTGGACATATAGAACCGAATGCATCTGAATGTGTATAAATATTTCTTATTATAGAATAATATTAAAACATTGAATAACTCGCTTATTAAGTGAATATGTGCTATACTTGGCGAACTTCTTCAATAAAGTTCTAAGGAAGTTGACGTTGTTTAAGTCCTACGGAAATATGGAAGTTAGATATTGTTTTAGTTTTTATTTTATTGACAACAGGTTTATTGCTGGGGATTTAATAAAATTGTTAAAGTTTAGCACCCAAAAACTGAATATTGTGTTGAAAATGAAGACAGTGTTTTTTTCAAAGTGATATATGTATTTTGTTAGAAGTTTGTATAATTATTAAGGCATTTAGGCTAGGCAAATCTAGCTCGAAAAAGAGCCAAAAGTCAAACAAATTGCAAACAAAGGTTTTTCTTTTTTAATCAAGTGCATATGATGAGGGGATGAAATTCCACAAATCACACCTTGGTCACACCTCGGGAACATATGCAAATTAGCTAAAATATGCAAATTAGGTTGAAAAATATAGGGGTATTATATCTTGGCAACGGCTGGTCGCAAGGAGTTGGTTTCTTTTTCAAATTATTCAGAACATGCATGTTTCTATTTGTTCTAATGGGACATTTGCCCAAAAAATGAACGAAAACACTACAATTGACCTCTGACCTTATATTCACTGAATTTGCATACCTCTGCAACTAATGTATATAGAATCATAATTTAGGTCTTAAATTATTCAAATACATGATTTTTTCCAATATATTAATCAAAGGGATGAAAATCTATAATCACACCATGGTCAAATGTACTGTTCATATGCAAATTAGCTAAAAAATATGCAAATTAGAAAAAAAAGTAAAGGGTTCCCATATCTTGGCAATGGCTAGTCATGAAAGTGAGTTGCTTTCTTTTTAAGATTGTGCAAAACATGCATGTTTCTATTTGCTGTAATGGAACATTATTATTATTGACTGCAACGAAAAATATTTTTTTAATGAGCTAAAATGGCTTGAATAGACCTATCTTGCTGGAGGTCATGCAACAGTGTTTTGCTATTGTTTTGCCCTTCAATATAGATTTAAAAATGGGCTTTGTTGTACTTTTGTGTATTTTCTACATTTTAGGTATAAACACATTATCGGTCGAAAAAAAAAACCTATTGACCTAAACAATTTTTTTGGATTATCCCCAAATGTGACCAACAATTTTTTTTGGCCTTAATTTTTAGGAGAGAATCTGTTATTCAGATTAAATGGATTTAATTCAGATTTATTAAATGGTTGTGAAAAGTTGGGAGTTGGTACGTTTTTTGAATTGTCGTCAACTGCATTTACTATAGGGACATTTACTAAAATAAAAAAATTACCGAAAGTTAAAAGTTAAGTGGGGAGAACAAAGTTTTAGTGTAAGAGTAATATCCGGTTGAAGTTGCAGATTCTCAAAACAATTAACCAATTTAAATAAAGGCCGGAAAAACATTGGCTAAATTACCACCAGAAGTTTAAACAGTATTTAAAAGACTTCTGACAAAGTGTTGAATAAGCATTAATGCTTTAGCTTCAAGATCAATGCAGATTACACAAATCAATCGTGATGTTGGTAGTCTATGAGTGAGATACTTACCTGGATAACCGACTAATTGCCATTGTTCCCAAAACGGAACACCCCTTCGAAAATAATGGAACAGTCCGACCCAAGGCGCCACGTGCGAACCGTCTCCCTAACAAACGTCCTCATTCCCTTTTCGACGTTTTCGCCCGCATTCCGGCGAAAACCTCCCGAGCCACCCGGCCCACCTGCTCCGAAATCAACGAAACCAACGCCGGATCCAGCGGAGGGGAAGGACCCGCCGAATGCGAAGCCAACGAAACCTCCAGCGGTGGAGGCGAGTCATCCGGCGCCGCAACAACCCCCGACGCAGCCGGCAGCGAACCCTGAGATCGAGTGGCAGCCTGAGCTGCCCAATCTAGAGCCGCCGCAAACTTAGTCGGGGGCCAGCGCGCACAAATCTCGCAAGGCTCAGCCTTGCTACACGAGCGACACAAAGGGCACTCCGAGTGCCGGTCGAGCTTAACACTCGGTTTAGGGCCCCCACACGCCGAGCACAAAGACTTGCGAGCGGACATGTCGATCGAGACTACAATAAACAAAGGATATCTTGCAAGTTGAAAATAAATCCACAAAAGAAGATAGCTTGAAAGGACTGCAAGTAATTTCAAAGGCTGGGTGTATCCAACTTCGAACAACGTCGAAAAGGAAATGAGGACGTTTGTTAGGGAGACGGTTCGCACGTGGCGCCTTGGGTCGGACTGTTCCATTATTTTCGAAGGGGTGTTCCGTTTTGGGAACAATGGCAATTAGTCGGTTATCCAGGTAAGTATTCACGAAATAGACTAATGTAATTAACATGTAAACAAATTTTGCGTGAATGTTGCCCAAAGTCAAAGTCAACTATTGGATTTCCGGGTGCTATCCTATCGGTTGTTTTTTTTTCAATAGACATTTTCATGGTTTATTAAAACGACTACCGTTTTAGGTCCTTAATGCTAAATTCTCTGGAGTAAACCAGCTTTCCATCATACTGCATAATTTATATTTTTGTTTTCACAATATGAAAAAAAAAACATAAGCTGTTGTTAATTTATAGAATGCATACATACCCGGTGATGTTTGTAATATAGTGGTAGATGACTGAGTCGCTGGATTGGATGTAAATGCAGAAGTTGAATCACTTTTAGTTGTGGTGGTTGTCTTTGGTTCCACACTCCGAGATGTAGTTTGGTCAACCGTTGTCATGTCTTTCGTTGCCAATTCTTTACTTGTTATATCGAGCACAGTTTGCAATTCTGTCGTTGATTTTTCAGTAATAGCATCAGTTCGCTCAGCTTCACTTGTTACTTCATCAGTTGTGATAGCTGTTGATGTTAAATCGTCTACTGTTGTAGAATCATCTACTGTTGTCAACGGTATCGTTGTTAAATCAAATGGTTTAGTGAGGTCAGTGTCAGTTATTTCATTGGTTGTGATAGCAATGGATGTTACCTCCCCTAATGTTGTCAAATGATATACTGTTCTCGATGGTATGGTTGTTGCATCAACAAATGTAGTTTGCTCAGCTTCACTTGTTACTTCATCAGCTGTGATATCTATTGAGGTTACCTCCTCTACTGTAGTCAAATCACCAACCGCTGTCAATGGTATTGTTGTTATATCAATTAGTGTTGTTAGCTCAACTTCACTCGTCAACTCATTAGTTGTGATATCTATTGATGCTTGCTCCTCTACCGTTGTCAAATCATCTACTGTCGTCGATGGTATCGTTGATGCATCAAGCAAGGTAGTTTGATCAGCATCCCTCGTTACTTCAGCGGTTGTGATAGCAATGGATGTTACCTCCTCTAATGTTGTCAAATCATCTACCGTTGTCGACGGTATGGTTGTTGCATCAACAAATGTAGTTCGCTCAGCTTCACTTGTTACTTCATCAGCTGTGATATCTAATGAGGTTACCTCCTCTACTGTTGTCAAATCCCCAACCCCTGTCGATGGTATTGTTGTTATATCAATTAGTGTTGTTAGCTCAACTTCACTCGTTAACTTATTAGTTGTGATATCTATTGATGTTTGCTCCTCTACCGTTGTCAAATCATCTACTGTTGTCGAAGGTATCGTTGATGCATCAAGCAAGGTAGTTTGATCAACATCACCCGTTACTTCAGCGGTTGTGATAGCAATGGATGTTACCTCCTCTAATGTTGTCAAATCATCTACTGTTGTCAACGGTATGGTTGTTGCATCAACAAATATAGTTCGCTCAGCTTCACTTGTTACTTCAACAGCTGTGATATCTAATGAGGTTACCTCCTCTACTGTTGTCAAATCACCAACCGCTGTCAATGGTATTGTTGTTATATCAATTAGTGTTGTTAGCTCAACTTCACTCGTTAACTCATTAGTTGTGATATCTATTGATGTAAGCTCCTCTACCGTTGCGAAATCATCTACTGTCGTTGATGGTATCGTTGATGAATCAAGCAAGGTAGTTTGATCAGCATCACTCGTTACATCAGCATTTGTGATAGCAATGGATGTTACCTCCTCTAATGTTGTCAAATCATCTACTATTGTCGACGGTATGGTTGTTGCATCAACAAATGTAGTTCGCTCAGCTTCACTTGTTACTTCATCAGCTGTGATATCTATTGAGGTTACCTCCTCTACTGTTGTCAAATCACCAACCGCGGTCGATGGTATTGTTGTTATATTAATTAGTGTTGTTAGCTCAACTTCACTCGTTAACTCATTAGTTGTGATATCTATTGAAGTTTGCTCCTCTACCATTGTCAAATCATCTACTGTTGTTGAAGGTATCATTGATGCATCAAGCAAGGTAGTTTGATGAGCATCACTCGTTACTTCAGCGGTTGTGATAGCAATGGATATTACCTCCTCTAATGTTGTCAAATCATGTACTGTTGTCGACGGTATGGTTGTTGCATCAACAAATGCAGTCCGCTCTGCTTCACTTGTTACTTCATCAGCTGTGATATCTAATGAGGTTACCTCCTCTACTGTTGTCAAATCACCAACCGCTGTCGATGGTATTGTTGTTATACCAATTAATGTTGTTAGCTCAATTTCACTCGTTAACTCATTAGTTGTTCTATCTATTGATGTTTGCTCCTCTACCGTTGTCAAATCATCTACTGTCGTAGAAGGTATCGTTGATGCTTCAAGCAAGGTAGTTTGATCAGCATCACTCGTTACTTCAGCGGTTGTGATAGCAATGGATGTTACCTCCTCTAATGCTGTCAAATCATCTACTTTTGTCGACGGTAAGGTTGTTGCATCAACAAATGTATTCCGCTCAGATTCACTTGTTACTTCATTAGCTGTAATATCTAATGAGGTTACCTCCTCTACTGTTGTCAAATCACCAACTGCTGTCGATGGTGTTGTTATATCAATTAGTGTTGTTAGCTCAACTTCACTCGTTAACTCATTAGTTGTGATATCTATTGATGTTAGCTCCTCTACCGTTGTCAAATCATCTACTGTCGTCGATGGTATCCTTGATGCATCAAGCAAGGTAGTTTGATCAGCATCACTCGTTACATCAGCATTTGTGATAGCAATGGATGTTACCTCCTCTAATGTTGTCAAATCATCTACTGTTGTCAACGGTATGGTTGTTGCATCAACAAATGTAGTTCGCTCAGCTTCACTTGTTACTTCATCAGCTGTTAAATCTAATGATGTTACCTCCTCTACTGTTGTCAAATCACCAACCGCTGTCGATGGTATTGTTGTTATATTAATTAGTGTTGTTAGCTCAACTTCACTCGTTAACTCATTAGTTGTGATATCTATTGATGTTTGCTCCTCTACTGTTGTCAAATCATCTACTGTCATCGAAGGTATCGTTGATGCATCAAGCAAGGTAGTTTGATCAGCATCACTTGTTACATCAGCGGTTGTGATAGCAATGGACGTTACCTTCTCTAATGTTGTCAAATCATGTACTGTTGTCGACGGTATGGTTGTTGCATCAACAAATGTAGTTCGCTCAGCTTCACTTGTTACTTCATCAGCTGTGATATCTAATGAGGTTACCTCCTCTACTGTTGTCAAATCACCAACCGCTGTCGATGGTATTGTTGTTATATCAATTAGTGTTGTTAGCTCAACTTCACTCGTTAACTCATTAGTTGTGATATCTATTGATGTTTGCTCCTCTACCGTTGTCAAATCATCTACTGTCGTTGAAGGTATCATTGATGCATCAAGCAATGTAGTTTGATGAGCATCACTCGTTACTTCAGCGGTTGTGATAGCAATGGATGTTACCTCATCTAATGTTGTCAAATCATGTACTGTTGTCGACGGTATGGTTGTTGCATCAACAAATGTAGTCCGCTCAGCTTCACTTGTTACTTCATCAGCTGTGATATCTAATGAGGTTACCTCCTCTACTGTTGTCAAATCACCAACCGCGGTCGATGGTGTTGTTATACCAATTAATGTTGTTAGCTCAACTTCACTCGTTAACTCATTAGTTGTGATATCTATTGATGTTAGCTCCTCTACCGTTGTCAAATCATCTACTGTCGTCGATGGTATCGTTGACGTATCAAGCAAGGTAGTTTGATCAGCATCACTCGTTACTTCAGCGGTTGTGATAGCAATGGATGTTACCTCCTCTAATATTGTCAAATCATCTACTGTTGTCGTCGGTATGGTTGTTGCATCAACAAATGTAGTTCGCTCAGATTCACTTGTTACTTCATCAGCTGTGATATCTAATGAGGTTACCTCCTCTACTATTGTCAAATCCCCAACCGCTGTCGATGGTGTTGTTATACCAATTAATGTTGTTAGCTCAACTTCACTCGTTAACTCATTAGTTGTGATATCTATTGATGTTAGCTCCTCTACAATTGTCAAATCATCTACTGTCGTCGATGGTATCGTTGACGTATCAAGCAAGGTAGTTTGATCAACATCACTTGTTACTTCAGCGGTTGTGATAGCAATGGATGTTACCTCCTCTAATATTGTCAAATCATCTACTGTTGTCGACGGTATGGTTGTTGCATCAACAAATGTAGTTCGCTCAGATTCACTTGTTACTTCATCAGCTGTAATATCTATAGAGGTTACCTCCTCTACTGTTGTCAAATCACCAACCGCTGTCGATGGTATTGTTGTTATATTAATTAGTGTTGTTAGCTCAACTTCACTCGTTAACTCATTAGTTGTGATATCTATTGATGTGTGCTCCTCTACTGTTGTCAAATCATCTACTGTCATCGAAGGTATCGTTGATGCATCAAGCAAGGTAGTTTGATCAGCATCACTCGTTACATCAGCGGTTGTGATAGCAATGGACGTTACCTTCTCTAATGTTGTCAAATCATGTACTGTTGTCGACGGTATGGTTGTTGCATCAACAAATGTAGTTCGCTCAGCTTCACTTGTTACTTCATCAGCTGTGATATCTAATGAGGTTACCTCCTCTACTGTTGTCAAATCACCAACCGCTGTCGATGGTATTGTTGTTATATCAATTAGTGTTGTTGGCTCAACTTCACTTGTTAACTCATTAGTTGTGATATCTATTGATGTTAGCTCCTCTACCGTTGTCAAATCATCTACTGTCGTCGATGGTATCGTTGATGCATCAAGCAAGGTAGTTTGAGCAGCATCACTCGTTACATCAGCGTTTGTGATAGCAATGGATGTTACCTCCTTTAATGTTGTCAAATCATCTACTGTTGTCGACGGTATGGTTGTTGCATCAATAAATGTAGTTCGCTCAGCTTCACTTGTTACTTCATCGGTTGTGATAGCTATTGATGTTAAATGGTCTACTGTTGTCAAATCATCTACTGTTGTCGATGGTATCGTTGTTAAATCAAATGTTTTAGTTAGGTCAGTGTCACTTGTTATTTCATTGGTTGTGATAGCAATGGATGTTACCTCCTCTAATGTTGTCAAATCATCTACTGTTGTCAACGGTATGGTCGTTGCATCAACAAATGTAGTTCGCTCAGCTTCACTTGTTACTTCATCAGCTGTGATATCTATTGAGGTTACCTCCTCTACTGTTGTCAAACCACCAACCCTTGTCGATGGTATTGTTGTTATATCAATTAGTGTTGCTAGCTCAACTTCACTTGTTAACTCATTAGTTGTTATATCTACTGATGTCAGCTCCTCTACCATTGTCAAATCGTCTTCTCTTGTCGATGGTATCGTTGATGAGTCAACAAATGTAGTTTGCTCATCCTCAGTCGTTACTTCATCGGTTGTTATAGCTATTATGCATAGTAGTAATATAATAATAATAATAATAATAGTAGTAGTACTAATAATAATAATAATAACAATAATAATAATAAATATTAATGATAATAATGTTAATACTAATAAGAATAATGGTAATAATAATAATGATAATAATAATAGTAATAATAATGATAGTGATAATGACAAATTATAATTATTTATCATTGACAGTGGTTTTTCGAAATTTGGTTGAAAAGTTGGTGTATTAAGTTACATACCTGTACAGTTGCCGGCTGCAGTTGTATTCACGTATCCAACTTCACAATTACAATGAAAGCTGCCATCTTCATTTACACAGTCTTTTTCATGGAGTTCTTTATCACATGGGTCATCTTTACACTCGTCATAATCTATATATTTGAAATCAATAACAAAAATACAAATCTACATGTCTATTTAATGTATAAAAGCACTAAAGCTTATAATAATTTAATAATAATATTGCATTTGACACTTACCAAATTAACAAATAACGATACAGCTGATATTATCGTTTGAATTATTATATAGGCTTTACAGCAAAAAGGATCCTGTTGCTAACAACCTCAAGCAATTAAACTATTTTTTATTTTTGAAACATATTGAAGCTCAGCATGCATGCATAATAATAATAATAGTAGTAGTAGTAGTAATAATAATAATAATAACAATAATAAATATTAATTATAATAATGTTAATAATAATAATGGTAATAATAATAATGATAATTATAATAGTAATAATAATGATAATGATAATGACAAATTATAATTATTTATCATAATAATATTAAAAATAATAAGTCGATTGAATATTCAAAAGAAACATTCTGTTTACATGAAGTATAGTGTTGCTTGGTCATTTCATTTATAAATTTGTAATTACTTTCTTTGAAAAGAGGCGACAATGCAGACTCATGTATTACTACAGTATGTAGTCTCTTTAAACAGTTGTTTCACCGGTTGTGGAAGTGGCTTGGTGCAGCGGGAACGGTTTGTTTTCCCAACCTCTAGGGGGGGGTTCGAATCCCTCGCTGTTCATTTCGCTTGTGTCTTTGAGCATGACACTTTATTTGCATTGCTTCCCTCCGCCCTGCTCCTGCGCTGATTACCAGCAGCAACACCTAACATGTGGACCCAATGACCAGGCAAAAGAACTGCGCTTTCTAACAGCAAGGAAAGAGGCACATTATAAATGCCTGTACCAGTACCAGACCGAGTGATTGTTAATCAATATTAAACATTATTATTTATTATCAATATCTCTATCATCATCACTAACACCATCATCATCGTTATATTTAATGATAAGTAATTTATTATATAAACAAATAATAAATAATAATTACAATGCTTATATATGAATATATAGTTATAATCATATTAAAAGCTCCTATTTCAGTTTGTTCATTTCATTTTTGATGTTGTAGTTACTGTTTTTACAAAGAGGCGACAGTGAGAGACTCACCATCAGTAGCTTTAATTTAGTTATCTTATAGTTCAAGAGTAATTAGAGATTTGAATTGTTCACAGTTTGTAATTCATAAGAAACTAATACCTATTAATTAGAATAGCTAATGTGTCATGGAAGTGATCATTGTCATACACAATTGTCACCAAAATTATGTATAACATTTATTGAAAACCTGTTTTTGTAAGGAACAGTATCTGCTGTCAATAAAGAACTTTTGTCAATTGGCAGTGGTGTTTCAAATTTCGGTTGAAAAGTTGGTGAACATACCTGTACAGTTGCCGGCTGCAGTTGTATTCACGTATCCAACTTCACAATTACAATGAAAGCTGCCCTCTTCATTTACACAGTCTTTTTCATGGAGTTCTTTATCACATGGGTCATCTTTACACTCGTCATAATCTATATATTTGAATTCAATAACAAAAATACAAATCTACATGTCCATTATGTATAAAAGCACTAGAGCTTATGATAATTTAATAATAATATTGCATTTGACATTAACCAAATCAACAAATAACAATACAGCTGATATTATCATTTTAATTATTATATAGGCCGAACTTTACGGTATATGCTCTACAGCAAAAAGAAACCTGTTGCTAATAACCAATTAAACTTTTAAAACATACTGAAGCTCAGCATGCATGCATAGTAATAATAATAATAATAATAATAATAATAATAGTAATAGTAATAATAATGATAATAATAATAATAATAATAATAATAATAATAATAAATATTAATGATAATAATGTTAATAATAATAATAATAATAATAATAATGATAATTATAATAGTAATAATAATAATAATAATAATAATAATAATAATAATAATAATGACAAATGATAATTATTTATCATAATAATATTAAAATAATAAAATATAATAAGTCGATTGAATATTCAGAAGAAACATTCTGTTTATATTATTTACACGAAGTATAGTGTTGTTTGCTCATTTCATTTATAAATTTGTATTTACTTTCTTTGAAAAGGGGCGACAATGACAGACTCATATGTTACTATGTCGTCCCTTCAAACAGTTTCACCGGTTGTGGAAGCGGTTTGGTGCAGCGGGAACGGTTTGTTTTCCCAACCTCGAGGGCAGGGTTCCAATCCCTCGCTGTTCATTACACTTATGTCCTTGAGCATGACACTTTATCTACATTGCTTCCCTCCGCCCTGCTCCTGCGCTGATTACCAGCAGCAACACCTAACATGTGGACCCAATGACCAGGCAAAAGAACTGCACTTTATAACCGCAAGGAAAGAGCCACATTATTATCGAGTGATTGTTAATTAATATTAAACATTATTATTTATCATCAATATTTCCATCATCCTCACTAACACCATCCTAATCAGCGTTATATTTATTTATAAGTAATTTATTATATAACCAAAAAAAAAAAACAATAATTACAATGCTTATATATGAACATATAGTTATAATCATATTAAAAGCTCCTTTTTCAGTTAGTGTCTGTTTATTTCATTTTTGATGTTGTAGTTACTCTCTTTAAAGAGAGGCGACAGTGACAGACTCACCATCAGTAGCTTTGATTTAGTTATCTTGTAATTTCCCATGTTTGTTTACAAATGCTTAAACAAATGTTGAAATTCAAAATATTTTTTTTTTTATTTTTAAAACATATTGAAGCTCAGCATGCAAGTGATTTTTCTTGCAGTATTATTAGTATCACCCCCACCCTTACCCTCAACCTCATGACCTAGCCTCACCCCACCCTCGCCATTGCCATCACTAGGACTATCACTATACTTTTACTAATAGTAAACCCTCTCTCTATAAACCAAACCACCTATCCTATTACACAACTTTTATGATGAAAATCATGCTAGAAATTTGTTTTATTTCAATTACTATTTATTTTACCTACCTTGACAGTTTCCGGTAGTAGTTGTATTAACATATCCATCTTCACACTTACAATAATAACTACCTTCTTCGTTTACACAGTCTTGTTCATGACGTTCTTTATCACACAGAGTTTCATTTTCACACTCGTCATAATCTATATATATTTTTTTTAAATAATATTTAATTTTATGGAAGGCTTAGATAAATGTTTATCTATTTCAGTGGTGAATCTGAATATGATTTTAATTATTTTAATAATTAGTATTCTCAATATAATCGCACTATGTCTCAGTGTAGATTACATTATTTCATATTATTGATGAAACACAAATGCAAACGTGCTATTCAATGCGCTGGGACAGTAATTACGCGCATGTAAGGTATCACAAATATATATTCGTGAATGCAGCTGCATAATGCCACTTTATAAGACTTAATAAGTGAAGGGCTTTGAAAAATCCATTATTACAAAATTGATTTATAAAAACTCCTTACGCCCTTTGATATGTAAGACACTCAGTTCACCCAGTGGAAATTTGAAGTTGTCACAATTGCAATTGTAATTCATTAGAAGCTAATAACTTTAATAACTAATGTGTCGTGGACTCAATCATTACTGTCATGCACAATTTTCGCCAAATAAAAATAACAGTTGTCGAAAACTTTTTCTAGAGGGACAGCAAATTTCAGTCAAAAAATTAGTGTAGTAAAGTTACATACCTATGCAGTTGCCGGTAGTAGTTGTGTTCACGTATCCAAATTCACAAGTACAATAATAACTGCCTTCTTCATTTACACAGTCTTGTTCATGTCGATCTTTATCACACGGGTCACCTTTACACTCATCAATATCTATACGTTTGAAATCAATAACAAAAAATTATTATTGCACAAATCAGGGCATATCTTATAGATCTAAAATAATGTAAAATCACATACTGTACAGTGGTACATCATTGTTGCGATTTCAGACTCGTTAAGAGAAATTAAAAATACATATTTTACTGGCATTTGAATCAACACAACACCAAGTACTGTTATAGAGTTTGCGTTGTATGTGAATGGTCTCGGGTTTGAACTCGGTGGATTTTTATTAGATTCCCTTTTCTTTACATTCACATGACATTATTTGGATGCTGTTTTTAGGGGCTTTCACATATTATATCTATCCATCTTTCCAAAAATACACCTTTGATCTTTTATCGAAGTAAGGGTTTCACCCCCACCCTTACCCTCAACCTCATGACCTAACCTCACCCCGCCCTCGCCATTACCATCACTACGACTATCACTACACTTTTACTAATAGTAAACCTTCTCTCTATAAACCAAACCACTTATCCTATTACACAACATTTATGATGAAAATCATGCTAGAAATTTGTTTTATTTTAATTACTATTTATTTTACCTACCTTCACAGTTTCCGGTAGTAGTTGTATTAACGTATCCATCTTCACACTTACAATAATAACTACCTTCTTCGTTTACACAGTCTTGTTCATGACGTTCTTTATCACACAGAGTTTCATTTTCACACTCGTCATAATCTATATATATTTTTTTTAAATAATATTTAATTTTATGGAAGGCTTAGATAAATGTTTATCTATTTCAGTGGTGAATCTGAATATGATTTTAATTATTTTAATAATTAGTATTCTCAATATGTGGCAAAGACAAGCCAAACCAGTCACTCGTCGCAAATCATGTTTCAGAGAAAATGGCCAAATCATGCTGGAATGTCAAATTTTTTTTTTAATTTATTTTATTGCACTAAACTAACCTTTATATACCTACACATCATAACAAAATTATGTTATTTTCCCAATGTGCAATGTTAAAACAACATTTTTAAGGCTTTGATGATAATTTCTGCATGAGAAATGCCTGAAATCATAAACTTTGAAGGCTGATTTCTCATATATAGTTCTTTAAACAGCTGTGTGTTTAAACACTTGTAACTTCATAAGGAAATGTCTGATTTGAATGGTTTTTTTACCATTTTATAGCTAATATTTTACTCTCTAACATTGTATTAATAACTCAAAATCAATTTTTGCGACGAGTGACTGGTTTGGCTTGTCTTTGCCACATATAATCGCAATATGTCTCAGAGTAGATTACATTATTTCATATTATTGAAGAAACACAAATTCAAACGTGCTATTCAATGCGCTAGGACTGTAATTACGCGCATGTAAGGTATCACAAATATATATATTTGTGAATGCAGCTGCATAATGCCACTTTATAGGACTTAATCAGTGAAGGGCTTTGAAAAATCCATTATTACAAAATTGATTTATAAAAACTCCTTACGCCCTTTGATATGTAAGACACTCAGTTCACCCAGTGGAAATTTGAAGTTGTCACAATTGCAATTGTAATTCATTAGAAGCTAATAACTTTAATATCTAATGTGTCGTGGACTCGATCATTACTGTCATGCACAATTTTCGCCAAATAAAAATAACAGTTGTCAAAAACTTTTTCTAGAGGGACAGCGAATTTCGGTCAAAAAATTAGTGTAGTAAAGTTACATACCTATGCAGTTGCCGGTAGTAGTTGCGTTCACGTATCCAAATTCACAAGTACAATAATAACTGCCTTCTTCATTTACACAGTCTTGTTCATGTCGATCTTTATCACACGGGTCATCTTTACACTCATCAATATCTATACGTTTGAAATCAATAACAAAAAATTCAAATCTACATGATTGATATATACATATTAATATTGCACAAATCAGGGCATATCATATAGATCTAGAATAATGTAAAATCACATACTGTACAGTGGTACATCATTGTTGCGATTTCAGACTCGTTAAGAGAAATTAAAGAATTCACATTTTACTGGCATTTGAATCAACACAACACCAAGTACTGTTATAGAATTTGCGTTGTATGTGAATGGTCTCGGGTTTGAACCCGGTGGATTTTTTTTAGATTCCCTTTCCTTTACGTTCTTATGACATTATTTGGATGCTGTTTTTAGGGGTTTTCACATGTCTATCCATCTTTTAAAAACATATATCTTACCAATACATATGCTAATGCCATTTGTCTGAGACGCATTGTACCCGCTCATGCAATCTGAACAGGCGTAGCTGTTATCTGTTTTGTTGAAATTGCAATTACGAAATTTTCTATCATAGCAATCATGCAAATCTTCTTTACATGGATTTATAACTGAAATATGAATTCAAAATTGTTATAAAACATAGGGTCAACTAAAAAAGCAATTACAGTTCATGCACACACCATAAACCTACACAGTGAACTGTTACTAGCAGTTAGCGAAATAGCATATAAAATTTAAATGTAAAATGCAGTCACACTTGAGGCAATTATTATTATTATTATTATTATTATTATTATTATTATTATTATTATTATTATTATTATTATTATTATCTTTATTATTATTATTATAATTATTATTATTATTATTATTATCTTTATTATTATTATTATAATTATTATTATTATGAACCACTTGACAGATGTGTATAAGAGACAGTTATTAATCATTACTATTAATTAACTATTATTTCTATTCATTTTACTATTTTTGCTTTTACATTTAGGGTATCTCGAGAAAAATTTTCTTCAAAACATCTAGAAATTATATAAATCAAATTCAAACTCATTGTCAATTTTTGTATACATGAAACGATATTGTTTTGCTATTATTGATTGATTGATTTGGTTATCCATTTCCGTTTATTCTAACTATATATTTTTGCTATTGATTATTTATTCTACTTGTTATACTGAATTAACTGTATAATAATTGATTTGTTATATTGTTATTACTGATTGATTGATTGATTTGATTTGATTGAATAAATGTTGTTGAAATGAAATGAATGAATGACCTCTTCTAAATTGACACAAAGCATACCCATTTCCTATTCTACAAAGAATAAAATGCATTTTTTTTTTTTTTCAGTTTAAATATTTGAAAATTAGATAATATTACTTTCAAATTCGTTCAAGCATGATTGATATGGTGAATCTACAGGCAGTATTAGATCGCATAAGATAAAGGAAGATATCCAGAAGACTTGAAAATCACGAGTTGACAAATTGGGTATAGACGATAATGAAGATGATGACGGATGATGATGATGACGATAGTAAAGATAATATAATGATGATAATGAAGTTGATGATGATGATAAAAATAATGATAATAATTATCATGATGGTGATGGTGATGATAGTGACGATAATGTGGAGGATGATAATGAAAATCAAATCGGCATATAACCCAAACACTAACATGACATTGTAGAGAAAAAAAAAACGAACCTGGGTCATCGACTAGTAAGCTATTGAGGTCAACGTAGCTGTCGGGTCGTAGAAGATTGCCATTACGTCCTTCCAATTCATCTAAGAACAATTTTCTTGTTTCATTTATCGTGATGTTAGTGTCTGATATTAGATCAATTAGAAAGGTTACGTCTGCTACTGATTCCAAAATGGTGAATGATGAAACATGAACATTTAAGTACTGACTGCTGCTATTACTTCGATTAAAAAGAGCGAGCACCTGTAGAAATAACACAATTACAGAATATTTAGAAAGTCTTTTGTATGATTGAAATATGGATTACAATGTTTATCATGAATATCATTTGTAGAGAGACCACAGGTTTTACTTGTAAGTTTGATACCAAAAAACAATGCCAATGTATTGGTTCATTTTAAGAAATATGTTTGTACACAATTCGACTTTTCACTGTACTAGGCTCGGGTATTACCCTTTAATATGTAATTTCAAAAAGAAAAAAAAAACATAAAAATATATATTGCACATAAGTTTTGCAAAACCTGGAGTTGAATTCAAACAGTGATAAAGATATTAGAAGCATTGTAAACTGAATCTTATTGACATCAACATCTAGAGGTACAGCTCTTGAAATTACTTTGTATAATTGAAATGAGAAAACCAGAAAATATGGTTTTCCTTGGCAATATACCTCGGCTTTCGTAAACTAACAGATAGCTATACACGTTATGCTTCACAACCTACTACACATTTAGCAGGCCAGTGAAGCTGTGCTTATAACATACGGTATTTCATTAATACTATTTGCCTATAACAATTTATACATTTATGCATTTAACAACAAAAAACATAGTCACGGTTAAACTTACGTCTTTTGCAAGGCCCTCTTTCATCATATCTAAATTAAAATTCTGATTTTCAGATTTTTTGATATTTACACCTTTTACATCAGTGAAGTCAACATTCAGTTCTTGAGTAACTGCAACTATAAGTTAAAAAAGAAATTAATGAAATAAAACATTCTACAGGACTTCATGTTATATTTCATTATATTTAACTGGTGGCCTAATGTTAGCATCAGATGATGAAAAGCATACTTTTTAATACATTTATATTTACAAGCAATAAAATAATATTAACACATAGGCTATAACATAACGCGAACCACTTGACTTCAACAGTGCTAGCCAGGGTATTCAACAGTGCTAGCCAGGGTATTCAACAGTGCTAGCCAGGGTATTCAACAGTGCTAGCCAGGGTATCTAAGTACATACGGCGCTAAAGTTCAGTGTGTGGTTCGAGCTCTGGACCCCAAGTTTTAGAGCCTCAATTAAAAACGGTGTGACAAACCGCTGTCTCAGACGATAACGTTTTCGTAATTTTTAAAGATATTTGTTATTACAACTTTCTTTATTATCAGTAACTCGGATAATAATGATGATTTTAATAATAATAATAACAATAATAATAATAATAACAATAATAATAACAATAATAACAAGAATAATAACAAGAATAATAATAATAATAATAATAATAATAATAATAATAATAATAATAATAATAATAATAATAGTAATATTATACCAGCACCTGTACATGGTGAACCTGAATTGCTACGATAGTAACCCGTCTGACAAATACAGTTAAACCCGCCAATCGTGTTCTCGCATTTCTCGAACAGACTTGTATTGCATGGTGTACTAAGGCACTCGTTCACATCTAATGATTTTAAAATACATATCAAATTTTTGTTTCAAAATGGCCTTAAATGATTAAAATAGTTACTAAAAAGAGAACATCGACAAAACTATATCAATTTCATTGAGTTTCAAGTGTTCAGCAAACTCTATACATTATATGTTCACAGCTAGACTTTAAGAACACTGATTAATTTAGTTGAATATTTCTGCCACTCAGGGATATATACCGACAATCATGTGAAATTATTACATTTGGTTTTGTTTCATATTTTGTTCTAATATGTATTTCCTTTGAATTCGATTTTGAGTTTTGTTATTAAACGAGGTAGCCTACAAATCCAGAGGGCTCAAAGGAAGTGGCTATATAACAGGACGTAATATTACAATTTTATATAATAATGTCCTACAAATTTTGTTTAAAGAGAACAAGATAATAACTATCTAAACGCATAGAATTCCCTTTGTGCCACTATGCATAGAATTGCTTCACACCAGTATATAGTTCTCATACATCCAGTAACTGATAGGACCAGTGTCACATTAGATGAGATTTTTTAGAGAATAAAGGATTGTCTAAAATCTTTATTTTGTGAATTTAACAAAAAAATCTGAAAGTTGCAAATAAAGTTGTTGACATGTCATTTTTTTATGGTTTGGTCAAACAAGATTGATTTATTTTTACACGAATGTCGTCTATAAAACAAAACTTATATTGGATAAATTGTTTTAAGTGAATGTTAATTATGCCATTTCTCTATCCATGTTTGAATTCAATAAGTTTTAGTCATATTTTGGACTGGAGAGAAATGTATAATTATAATAATAATGCGTGTAAAGGTAAAAAGTACTAGCCGTCTTAGGTATTCAAATATACGTGTTCAAGTAATAAAAATGACAATGTTGTCATGAATGATACAGTTCTACAAATGATAAGAATAATGAGTAATCGGAAAATCCATTGTTATTCCTTAAAACTGCTAAGAAATGTACGTTTGTCTTACTGTTAAGAGAAATAGTGTAGGTTAATTGAAACTTACCCTCACAATACGTTCCATTACCAACAAAACCTTTGTTACAATTACATTCGTATGAGCCATCAGTGTCACTGCAACTGGCTCTTTGGTCCTCGCAGTTATCCAAGTCGAACTCACACTCATTAATGTCTAATTGTGAATAACAATTTGAAAGGAATAAATAAAAATTGTGTTTATAATTCCCTGTTTGGTTGAATACTTGTGGTAGTTGTATTAGAAATAGTTGTAGTTGTAGCAGTGGCAACAACAACACTAGCAGCAGTAGCAGCAGCAGTAGTAGCAGCAGCAGCAGTAGCAGCAGTAGTAGTAGTAGTAGTAATAGTAGTAGTAGAGGAAGCAGCAGTAGTAGTTGTTTTAGTAGCTAGTAGCATCAGTAGTATTAGTAGTTTGTATGAAATTTTTCATAAACTATGAACAGAGATGAAGGAGGACACATTCTATCACATATCTATGATGATATATTGAACCACAACACTAAGAGGGGGAGGGGGTGCTCGTCGACGACGCAGTGATGCACTTCGACCTCAGTATTAGTAGTAGTAGTAGAAATAGTAGTGGCAGTAGTAGCAGCAACAGTAGTAGTAGTGGTGGTGGTGGTGGTATTAGTAGTAGTGTTTGTGGTAGTGGTAGTGGCAGTACTGGTAATAGTAGCTGTAGTTTTAAATGTAATAATAGTAAAAGCAGCAGTGATATTAATAATGTGGTGGTAGTGGTGTAGTAGTGGTCGATCAGTGAAGTAGAGTGGAGTGGAGTGGAGTGGAGCAGATATATTCGATCCAACTCGGCCACAAGTCAAACTCGGAAACAAGTCAAACTCGGCCACAAGTCAACTCGAGTTGACTGTGGCCGAGTTGACCTGCTTCCGAGCAGATTAGCTTGGTGGTTAAGCAGATGGCGTAGCGTCGTCGTCTAGCACTCACAGAAAGTAGGCTGGATTCGTCGTGCGACGGTCGTACTGAGCGTTGTACGACGCAGCGAGTGGCAATCTTTGGTGCATGTGTTTGTCTAAAAAAGCAGCAGTAGCAGTAGTACGTTATTGGATTTAACACACATAGAACAGAATACATAGCTTACTTGAGAGTACAGTAATGTATAACTTTGCAGCAGCTAATCGGCAAAATTGGCATTTTAACCCTACCAGGAACCCAATTACATGCCTCGGTGGAGAGACTGAGGCTATGTTCCCACACGCGGCGTAAGACTGGCGTGACTTACGCCAGGCGTAAAATGATCCACGGATTAAAATTCCTAAGTGTCCACACAAATGTTGAACTAGTAGTAATATATAGGCCTATTGGGGAATAGTTTTCAGTTTTAAATAATGTACGGGTTCTAAACTGTAGTAAAATTAACAGTGAACACTTTTGAATCTGTGAATTGTTCGAAGTGAACTTATATGATTATTGTACTATTTAAATGAACAATTTTACTTCTGATTTTTCAGCTAGCATCGAACAGTTGTTGGTGTTGCAAGTTTTAGTAGACAGTCTAAATAGGTTAAAATATCTTACAAAACACATTCAACAAACCATATACTGTAATTTATAATTAAGTAAAATCAGTGGTGGCGCCAGGACCTGCCCGACGGAGGGGCTAAAGGCCCCGACCGGGGGGGGGGGCTAGTGGAGCAAATCGAGTCCGACTTCCCATACAAAAATTTTCTATAGAATTCTATAAAAAAAATTCTATAGATTTTCTATATAGTATTCTATAGATTATCTATAGGAAATTTTATATAAGTTCTATAGAATATTTCAAACAAATTCTATAGAAAATATATAAAAATATTCTATACAATCTCTAAAGAATTTCTATACAATTTCTAAAGGATTTCTATACAATTTCTAAAGGATTTCTATACAATTTCTAAAGAAAAGTGGCTTAATTCTCTATAAGAATCTATAGAAATTAACAGCATTTCCATAGAAAACAAAAAGTGTTTCTATAGAGAGTAATGCTGTTATAATGTCTTTGCTATAGAAAACTATTATTTTCTATAGAAATTGACAATACTTCTATAGAAAAGAACAGCATTTCTATAGAAATTATTGCAGATATATAATTTTTTCTATAGAAAACTATGTAAATCTCTATGGAAAAA